CAGCCATTCTCCAAATGCAGCAAAATTTAGCCACCGGTTCTACTGAATCGATGCAAACTGGCTAAATTCCACCATTGGGTTAATCCACTATTTTATGCATATCTAGTACTGAATTCACTAGATTTACCTTAATAAAGACATTTTTCCCATATTTCTGTAAGTCAGAAAAAGAAATCCCAATTCTCATTTCATGGTAAATAAAAGTATCTGCCTATCAAGATGTAAAGGACAAACTTAATACTCTAGGGCAGGGATGTCAAACTCGCAATGTCACGTGACGCAATGTATCACGACTTTTTTACCATTGCCGGCAATGGGGTGGGCACAGGTTCGCTATGATGCATTTGGTCCACGGGCCGTCAGTTTGACACCCCTGCTGTAGGGCACTGTCTTATAGTTAGGGTAATCCTTGTGAGAAAAGCAATTTTGTGAATCTATATTCAATATTAACTTAGATTCTACTTTCATGACAAGTTTAAGATGGTACAGTATTTCTTTTAATGAAGTGGTTTAACACTTGGAGGACTTCTAGTCCAACCTCCTCCTCAAGCTGCCATTAGACAAATGGCTGTCCAATCTCTTCTTAAAAACCTCCAATGATGTGAGCGCCCACAACTTCTGAAGGCAAGCTGTTCCACTGATTGTCACTGTCATGAAATTTCTCATTTCTAGGTTGGTTCTCACCTTGATTAGTTTCCGTCCATTGCTTCTTGTCCTGCCTTTAGATGCTTTGGAGAATAGGTTGACACTCCCTCTTCTTTGTGGCAGCCCCTCATATATTGGAATGCTGCTATCATGTCACCCTAATCCTTCTTTTCATTAAACTGGACATACCCAATTCCTGCAGCCATGGTAGCCACTCCTAATCATCTTTGTTGCTCTCCTCTGCACTCTTTCTCGAGTCTCCACATCTTCTTTATATTGTGGCAACCAAACTTGACTGATGGACAAGTGCTTGTGGTTTTCTTGGCAGCAAATTAGAAGTGGTTTTCTTCTGTCTTCTGGATGGTTTTGCAGTTTCACAATCTAGTCTATAGCCTTGAGATTTCCCTGAATGTAAGAAAGTGCTGCCATCTGCTGATATGGAGGCCGTGTGTTTGTAACAAAATAAAAACAAAAGTTAACACATCTCCAATCCTTTTTCATGGATTGGCTCTAATCAGTAAATGACTTCAAAACCCAGGACAATTTGTATGCATTTTAATTCAAAAGTTGTATATCATTTATGAAGATCTCTTAAATTGTTCTCAGCTTTTAACTTGCTCCGTATACAGTAAATTCTCCAGCAAATCTTTATACCTCTTATGAAAGGTCAGCATGAAATAAACCAAACTAGCTACTTGTTGCTGTGGGCAGCCAAAGGATTATATACTGTGTAATGTTATATAAAACAGAACAAAGGTATTTGATTTACAAAAAATCTGTTTAATAATACTGCAATAAAACACTGTGCAAAGATAAATCAGTGCCTCATTTACCTAGACACAGCTTCAAAAAAAACCTGTTGCATTAGAGCAAGTTGTGTTCCATTAGCGATTTCATGCAAGGCATATATGGCACAGCAGTTTATTAAATGTCATAGTAAGTTTTGACACATATCAAAGAATCCAAGTCAGTTACTTAAAACACAGCAGCATTCAAGATTGCACTAGAAAGGAAGGCTTGCCATTGCAATGTTACTAGACTATGAACGTTTCAGATTGCACAAAAGCCACTGTAATGACTAACAGTCACACCTCAGCTTCCCAAGAAGAAAAATATTTGAATTAGTGACATTTAGAAGTTTTATGTCACAGTTTTGTGCTATGGATGGAGCCTTGTAGACTTGTTTCTGAGTTTGTAAAACAGGAGTGTCCAACTATGGCAACTTTTAAGACTTGTGGACTTCAACTCCCAGAATTCCCCAGTCAGCATTTTGGGAGTTGAAGTCCACAAGTCTTAAAGTTGCCAAAGTTGGACACCCCTGTTTTACAAACTCAGAAACACTTTTCAATATCTTAGCATTCACTGAGCAAGCCTTCTTCCCCTGCCATCTTATTCCCTGACTTTTTAGTAAGACATTGGGCAAGCTTTTCATTAACTGAACTAGGCAAATATTTTTAAAACTTCTATTACAGTTCCACTAACAACCTAGATGGTGTTTTAGTTGGGAAAATTTCCCTCTTCAGCTCCATACACTCTCATGCACCCCAAAGCCCTGTCTCTTGATTAAAAGAAATAACTTGGAAAATGGAATTTTAATTTCTTTGTCCAGAGTTATGGAAAACAGTACATTTTAATTCCAATGCCAGCTGTTTCCACTGTCTTCCTGCTTTCCTTTTTTTCAGCTTTCTTCTACCATTTGAGGTTTTAGAGCAGGGGTATCCAATCTTGGCTACTACGAGACGTGTAGACTTCAACTGTCAGATTTTCCTAGCCAGAATGGGGAATTCTGGCTGGCTAGGGAATTCTGGGAATTGAAGTCTACAAGTCTTAAAGTTTTAGATAAGAAAACCAGGTTTTCTGCTGCTTTAGCTTGAAAAGATCCAAAATTCCACTTGCAAAGTTGAGGAAATTATCTGCTGTAAAAAAGTGATGGGTTCTTTAAAAATGGTTTCCGATGTAATGTTTCAGAGATGTTGATAAGGAATATATAGAAGCAGGAATCTTACACTTCCAACATGACATAACATTTAAATATTTTAATGTTATGCGGGGATGGATTCAGTAGCAGAATCCTAATTTGTCGAGTCATATTCACATACAAAAGAATTAAATTCCATTATGTATTTCCAACTATATAAGAGCATACAGTCCTTAAAAGAAAGATTATGCCACCTCTGTCACTAAATGTGATATTCAATTGTCACACATTTGCAATAACCAAACAGCACTTCCAACTTTCTGAATTATGATTATGAATCAGTGCATGACAATGGAACACACCACACAGACCCATTTCCTCCACCTTATCCAAATTCATACGTTTGTGGAGTCCTTGGTCCTCTCTGTTTGCTTGCAGACATTTCATTACCCAACTAGATAACATCACCATCACCATCATCATCAGTGAATGTGGTTTTTCTGCCTGTTCATATATAGTAGCTTGCCCTGCCAGGGTTGGAGGGCATGTGGTTTTCTCCTTGGTATTTACTTGATTAGGGTATTGTTTTCTGCTGGATTGTTTGTCTGGTGTCAATCCCTGCTTATCTGGGTATTGGCTCTGGGAAAGGAATGGTTTCCTTTTTAGCTTTTTTATTGTCGCTTATGAATAGTGGTTTTTTTTAAAGAATCAGCTGATCCATCTGCATAAAAGTTGGAACGCTGCTGTGATAACTAGCCCTTTTAAAAAGTGGAACATAAATATATCTTGAAAGGTATTTTTTAAAGATTTTGAATTAAATTAATTTTAATTAAATATTTGTATATGAGAGAGCGATAGTGAACATGCACACGAGAGTGAGAGGGAGATAGGCTAAAGATTTACTTCTAAAAACAGAAACTGATAACAAAAGGGGAGAGATCATTGTCAAGATAGCTCCACAGTAGGAGATAAATCCACAATAGAAATCTTCATCAGCTAATAGCAAAAGGCATTTATCTTAATCTGAAGCTGCATAGTATTGAATCCGAATAGAAGGTGGATGAAGAAATAAGTAGAAAAAAAGCAGTCCCATTTTTAAACTACAAGCAGAGAGACCACACACACAAACCAGATATGCTGGTGATGGTAGTTAGGAGTAACAGCAGACATGAACAAAACATGAAAGCTGTTTGCCAAACAGTGCTGCAAGATAATTTCTCATTTTTCCATTTAAATATGTAAGATTTAGTTACATAAAGTGTGTATAAATGTAGCAGCTGGTGCATAAAATTGTACTCAGTCTTAAAACTTGAGCTGAGAAATTAGGAGCGGCAATTGCCAGCATGCTTTGAAAAAGATAATCAGCTAACTAAAATCTCAGGATAAAGCTGCAGAATTAGGCATATTTATGGAAGATTACGTTTTAAGGCACTCAAGGGACCTATTTCCAAATAAACCTTCTGGGCTACATATCTGTAACCTCTAATACAGATTAGAATAGCCCCACCTGCGGATTCTGCTCATGAGCTGCACCTCTTGGATTCAGTGGCTATGTTCACGAACTTATTCATGATTAACTCATAGTTTACTTAATTTTCAAAATTTGCAGAAATTACTGAACCATAAATTAACCACACAGACCAGGGTCACAAAGCCACTAAGTCAAAATGTGATTGGCTAGTTTGTGGTTCATTGTATTACACAATTTTTTTGTCTCAGAAAGGACAAAATTACTGACATTCTAAGTTGTTCCACCCTCTGGGACTTCAACCATCTGAAGAGCGAGCCCTGTATTTTAATTCAAAATCAATCCATCATAACTACCAGATGGGTTTAGAAAATAAGGTAACCCAAGAATAACATTTTGTTTTTGAGGTTTTAAAGATGTCCTTGACTATCATAAGAGTGCTTTCTTTTTAAATTATGATGGGAGATTCATAAAACACTATTACCAAAAATCTATGTTTTTCAGCCAGCACTAGCTAAGGCAGGGGTGGCAAACTCGCAACGTCCTGTGACGTATCACGACGTATCGTGACTTTTTTGCCATTGCCGGCAATGGGGTGGGCGCGGTTTCGCTATGATGCATCCGGCCTGCGGGCCGGCAGTTTGACACCCCTGAGCTAAGGAAACATGTAGCCTATTTTCGCCTTGCAAATGCAAACACAGGAATCTTTTTTAATCATCTCTTCTGAACACATCTGTTCAGAGAGCCCTGGTTTTGATTATTTGCATCACAAGAAGAGGCTGGAGCTATAATAGACAAGTGCATGTTTTTCTTAATAATGAAATTCAAAATGAATTTTGTCCACCCACCTCCCCCCAACTGCCCTCAAGCCCTTAGACTAATATAAGGCACAAAAGAACTGGTGTGCTTGAGCAATGCCTTCATTCTTCCTTGTCCTTCCATGGTTGGCCCTGAGTCAGCAAATCTCCCTCAGGTGATGACCGTAGGACCCTTACGACCTGTCCTCTCATGAATCTGAGATATTTTCAGTGCAATGGCGATGAGTGGACTCAGAACTGCCTAGAGAAGAAAAAAAAATTTGAACATTTAAACCAGTGGTTTATGTATCAAAAAGGAAAAAGTTACTCAATGCCCATCAATATATGTGTATGTTAAGTTGGCTGACTCCACCAATTTGTTTCCATAAACGACCATGTCTTTCAAAATTCACGTTTAAAGATTTTGTCTCCCAGGCTTCACATGGAAGGTAACATACCAAGCTTTGGATAACATTCCAAAATGCCAGCTTGACAACAAAGGGTGTGCGTGTATGTTTAATACTAAAAATGTGATGTTAATTAAGCTAGCAAGGTGGGAGACTAGATGTAGGATACTTGACTGCTGTTTTTATATATATTATGTATTTTATTTATTTTATTGTACATCACCCAGAGACATCTAAGTCAGATGGGAGGCTATATAAGTGAAATAAATAATAATTTAAATTTAAATAACTTATTTAATTAAACTACACAACATTTGCCTATCCCAGGGCCTCAGGAAAGACTCGACAGGGGAACAAAAATGCCAAATCCAATCTAAATATAAGACCAACTATAATAATAATAATAATAATAATAATAATAATAATAATAATAATAATAATAATAATAATAATAATAATAATAATAATAATAATTTGCATTTACTTGGAATCGCATGCTAAAAGCATGCCTTTATTTGTGTAAAGATAGGACACTTTAATTTTTTTTTCAGTGAAAACCAAATGGATATTTTCAGGAACAAAGTAGAAATGTTGAATTGATTTTAACAATTAGCATTATTTACAGATTGAAAATCATTTTTTTTAATTTATGAGTCGATGTGTTCAGCAACTGCTGGTCAAGAAAAGATTGGAACAAAAGTTATCTTTGCCGCAGCCCCCACCTACTGATCCAGGAAAGACTCCATATTTGTATTTACTCCTTCAAAGAAGTACAGGAATCAAGAGCAATTTAAGGTGCTACCTTGGCACCTGAAAGCCTCTGTAGAAAAATAAATCTGTCTTGCTAGGATACAGTCTGTTCTGCCCCCACCCACTTTTTCATAGATCCAGGCACTGAGTCAAGACTTCCACTATACAGTATCTCCATGGACCTTGGACAAGAGATAGGTCACTGGTTATCATCAGCATATTAATTTTTTGGGGGGTGCCTTGGAATCAGTGTTGACTCTTGGCAACAGCATGACAACTCCTACAATTTTTTTGGGCAAGAGTTCAGAAGTGATTTGCCATTGCTTCCTTCCAAGGGCTGAGAAAAAGAGAGTGATTGGCGCAGAGTCACCCAGTTGAGTTCATACTTCACCTCAAACCCAGGGTTGTAGATGTAAATGTTAAAGAAAACTGAAATGTCCAGAGGGTCAAAGTGTCCCATGAATACCTCATTTAAAAAGTTCTGCCTACCCTGAAAAAGACTTTTAAAAAATACAAAGAGTACAAATTTCCTGCATTCCATCAGACAAATCAAATATGGTTCCATGTTTGGAAAAAAATATGGTTTGCTTCTATAAATTATTTAATGAAATATTATTTTCAAGCATTAACCTGGAAGCTTTTATGACTTTGTAAATCTTACTGTGGATGGGAAAATGATATAACAGAGGAAGAGTTTACTTAATGTCTAATGTCAAATGTAATATTTCATTCATATCCATTAATTAAAAAACAACAACCCAAAATCAATACTGTACTAACACCAACTCTAACCCAACAAATACATTCTATATCACATAATGGTTTTAGAAACATCCCTTTTAAAACAGAAAACTCAGAAAGATTTTTGGCTGAAATCACATTAGCTTATCATAAATAAGAAAGGAACCATTATATTTGCCTAAATACTGCTCCGTAATACAGTGCATTATGAAAACAGGAACTTGTTTAATTTATTACATTTTTAATGGTATGTGATTCAAGTGGTTCCAAGATCTGTTTCACAAAATAGTGACATCATTTTAAGGGTGGAGGACATGTTGCTTTAATATATATCTGAAATGTTATTGTCTTCTGCTTCCAGCAAAACTCGACATATCTTTTTTCCGAAAAATGAAAACAATCTTCTAAAAAAAAGATATATGATGGGCTGAAAAGAAATATCTATTTATCTTTCTTTACAACTTGCTTTTCCCCCAGTACTCTTATACTTGTACTGTAATATTACAAATACAATGGGCTTTCTAAGGCATCTCAGAGTCATAGGCACTACAAGGCTAAGGACAGGTAATCTTTCTTATAAGGAATGAAATGGGAATTTGGTGCTATAAAAATCCAGAAATAGAGTAGTTAGTTATACATCCATTAGAGAAAAATAATAATACTGAGCATGAATGGGGTTGGTCTTTCAACTTTTGAGAAATTATTGAGGATTCTGTCTTAAAATGTCTGCTTAGTCTCTAAACATCCTCTTCATGCAAGGAAGAAGGGGAAACTGGTAATATATAAGTAGATGGATAGATAAGATAGATGATAGATAGATAGATAGATAGATAGATAGATAGATAGATAGATAGATAGATAGATAGATAGATAGATAGATAGATAGATAGATAGATATAGAGACAGAAGAAACTACAAGGCAAAAACATGACTATAACGCAAAATATAAACTCAGTTTTTTGCTTTTATAAAGTACTTGTTTAATTGAAATCAGTTAATTTTTCTCTAAAATTACTTTTCTTCAACTGAATCACCTGTGCAAATCCTGTATTCAATATATTTCTGTTCAGTTCGCTAATTTCTCTTCTGCTAACCATCTCATTCTCTAATTTCTACCAATCAACACAGGGGCCATCTCTCCCTTTATGCCAGCCATTTCATTCATGCTTCACCTGCTCTCTCCAGTCACCCCACTCTTCCCTTCTCTCCTCAATAATTTACTCAGCACTTTAGAAAAACAAAACTGCTATCAAATTTTACATTTTTTGGCGGGTGTTTCAGGTCTGAACAATGCACAATTAGTGTACCATCAAAGCTCACACTCTCCAGAGCATATGAAAACTCAAAGAAGTAATGCAAGATAGGTAGATGTGGAGAGACCTGGCCCATAAAAGAGTTATGTTCAATGTTCAATGGACAACATTGAATGGATAATATCATCATGAACAGTTACTGTAATGTAAAATAGGGCCCTCTCCTGCATTCATGGAGGTTTCTAGCTAAGATATGGCAGGAGGACAGCCACTGCCAGAGAGCATTTCATTAAAAAAAGAGCCATAGTTTTTTCTTCTTTTATTTCAGGGGACACCTGGATTTGTGCTGTACTTCACTTCACATCCACTTGTACTTTGTAGTATGCATTATCAAACAATGCATTCTCTGTGCACCATTCTGAAAATTCACAGGATGTAAATGGAAAACAAAACACTTGCTGGACTGTGTATGTGAAATGATACTATTTGTGAATTGAGAGGATTCTTGCTAGGTAGATCACAAGGATCCACTTAAGGCAACGTGACTTTACTTCAAAGTACGTAATTGCCCCTGCTTCCTTGTTAAGGGGCAAAATAGCAGGGATCCATGTGTTTCGTTAATGTTTGAGTAGCTTATGGGACATTCCAAAGAATATAACCAAAGGTGCTGTCACTATTTATCAAATACCTTATTTTTTTTAAAATCATGCAAATTATATCACCTCTATTGAGGTTTGAGTCTTCATATCTGTTTCTTCCAAAACAGTCTTTTCCCACCTGGTTTCTCCAAATCTGTTCAATGCCTTTCATCACTAGCTGGCACAGCTGATTGTTACGGTATTTTTTTTTTTTTAAAAAGAGAACACTTTCTTTGTTTTAGATTGTGCATACAGTTACATTGTAGAAAACACCAACAGGTGAGTGACACTATTCTGTGTAAGAGGAAATGGAAATGCCTTCTGGTTGCTAAGGGGTGTGTTTTAAAAAAATCAAGATGGCAGCCACGATCCTGTAATTGAAAGTCTATTTGGTTTTAAGCATGCTGCATATACCACAAGGAAATGGTTTACCATCTTAACTTTTTTTCCAACACTGCTCTTTTTATTGTTCTTCCAGATCCAAATAACAATTTTTCATAAGCTGCCAACTTTTCAATAGCAAAATTGCTGTTTCTGGGAAAATATTATTCAGGAACATTCTGCTACGCCAGTTTTAAATTCTATTATCTGACTCTTACTGCGTAAAGTAAGAATAAACATATTTATAGTAATTTTGTTAAACATTACAGTTACAAAGATAAAACTAATAGAAACTAAGAAACCCTAAAAGAATAAAAAGAAAAAGATAGCAGGTGCAGGAAAATCAAAAGAAAAAAAAGAAAAGAATAAGAACATAGTAAAGTAAAAGAAAAGAAATATATAAAGAAATGATTTTCCCTTTCCTTAGAACAAGTATAAACAATTTGCTAACTTATCACCCTCTCTTAAAGTACAACAAATTACCTCTTCTTGCCTTATCTCATCTCTTATCTATAAACAAAGGACAGGAATATATGGTACAATTAGTAAATAGATAATCCAGTCAAGTACAATAAATTATATCTAAAAATAGTTCCGCTATTGATTCAAAATGTGCAATAATTATTTTATTATTCTGTTCACCTTTTCATCTGCAGCTAGTTGGGAACCACATGATATAAATGAATTTAGCACAGTCATAGTTTCAATTGATAAAGAAATAAAATCAAATTATAAGAGTACATAGAAGTCCAAGGTTCTATTTATTATAACTAATAAAAGGCAGGCAAAGGTTATGGCTTTTGAATAATACTAAGACAAACAGGGGCACTTTTTCAATTAATTATCAATAATGATGCACATGATTGCCAGTTCTGTAGTATTCAAACTGCTTGCTGTTCCAATTATAAAGTGAAATAAACGTTTTGTTCACAAAATTACAGTTGGTGATAAGCAGGTATTTGGTCTGGTATCCCAGCAGCTTCCATAGTAGCCAATGTTTTACTTTGTTTCATTGATATGTTAAAACAATGATTCCTGATTTGAGGAAACTTGTTCCACCCAACTCATCTATGATCCCATTTTCTGCCTCTC